GTACATACAGTCTTGAAAAGTGGGCCAGGATGTAATGCTTACTGCTGCTTCTCCCACTAGGTTTTGTTACCCATCTATAGCTGTGGCTGTGCTAAGGAAAGAGATTATGAAAAGCAACATGATCGCTGTTAGCGTTGTGTTTGAGTGTTCATGAATCCCATTTTGTTCTCCCTCCACACTCCCCTTGGTTAGGACTCATTGTGCTTTTAGTTAGGTGCTTAGTTTAAGTCAATTGCCTGTGCTCCTCATGGAGTGAGTGGAGAAAGAGGGAGAGAGACACTTCCTAAAGCAACTCATCTCATCCAAGACAGGCATCTGAAAGTGGTGGTGTTATTCATCTTCTGGAGATAATTGTCTCTTCGTTGAGGATGCAGCCCCACTAGATGCCTGACTTTGTAAGCAAAGTTAGGGATGAGTCCTCCTTTCACTGTGATGCTGTATCAAAGAGTCTGCCATCAGGTTCTTGAAGTATCTCCATAAGGCCCTGTTCATAGAAGAGAGATGTTGAATAATGGCCATAGTCCCAAGTTACAGTTTCCTTCCTGAATGCTGTCATATTCTTTTCCTGCTCTTCAGCAGCTTTCTTCTCCTCTTCTCTGTTGCCTTTCACAGTCCAGTGGCTAACACAACCAGTATGGTGCTGATACGCAATAGCAGTATGAGCCCTACCTCCCTGTATGTCTGTTAGGTACGTAAAGCTGCTAAGACTAAATGTTATAGGAAGGCTGTAAATTCTCATAGCCTTTTAAGTCCAATAAAATTAAATTCCAGAAGATACCAAATTGGTCTCAAATCTTCGAAGAACTTAAGTCCCAGGCCTGCAACGTGAGCTACTACATTTGTGCTGTCAACCCAGCTCTGCAAGGGACTTACCCTTACAGAGGACCATCAAAACTAACGACACGTGCCCTGGGCTGACTGCAGGTGTATCGTCCCTTCGGCTTCCCTGTTAAACGAAGGGCCTTGCAGTGTCTGTTTTGCTTTTGCTGTTTGGTCAGAAAGCCTCAGAGGAAATACTTGGCTGGCTTGCACTCACAGTTGGGGATGCAGAAGGTTTTAACACAGCCCGCTCACAAGTAGGCCGTCTTCATGAAAATACCAGCCTGCATTTTTTTCTTTCAAGCCCGTGTAGCTCTTACACAGCTTTGGGGCTTGTGATTTGTGCGTGGCTGGTGAGCAAGGAAGGTTATGAGCTTCTACGTGTTTGTACTAGTTTGCCATCCAGTGACCTTCTCAGGTGTGTATCAGGAGGGTGAAACTGATGCATTACAAAACGTCCAGGAGGGCTCTCTGCAGGGACGATGCTCACGTTCCTTATTCTGACCTGTGTAAAGTAACAGACCGATTGCTGCCGCTGGCTTGAACTCTGAATAAGCTGGACATCGAATTGCAGATACTTGCTTACATATAAAACTCTTCCTTGACATTTTCTTGTGTCTTGGTCCCTGCCTGGGCTTCATCTTCTGGGAAAGAAAGGTGCTATATCCTGAACTTTCTAGGATGTTTGACGTAAGCCAGTGCTTGTTTATGGTATTGGATTTTCTTCATAACTTGGACACCGTTAGTCAAATGCGTATTTTAAATATATTTTGCCTCAATCAGCGCTAATATTCGCCAACCTAAAGGGATCTTCTGACTTTTCAATGAGTGAAGATATGTCAGGGTATTATTGGGACAACAGAGTAAAGAATCAGGCCCCTGGGATTTTCTGGTTCCTGCCAAGTACAGGTATACACAGAAGTAATAAAGCAAAAAAAAAAAAAAAAAAAAAAAAGTATTGGGACTCAAATGATATTTTGCAGAAGTCCAAGCCATTTCTTTGTGATGTAGAAAAGAACGCCTCAGTTCTGTAATACGTAGAAAAACAGAACTGGAAAAACATTTTGACCGTCTCGTTAAGTGACGTTGTGACGTTGTGAGTTTATGTTGACTTCGGCAAGTTATTCATTTGAGAGTGGGGCCCTCTCTTTCCCAAATAATCATTTCAGAAAAATATTCCTTTTTTTTTTTTTTTTTTCCCTGGAATTTTTATTTTATTAAAAATATCTAAAAATTACACTGGAATCCAGATTACTTGGAATTTTCTTCCTTTTCCATTAAACCAAAACTACATTTGGTTTAAATGAGCAGATTTTTTTTAATGATATATTTTTGGACTTTTTAACAGTGAACTGAGTCTGTATAAGAGACTTGGGATAAATAGTGGGTTTTGCTGCCAGAAAGCTTGTGCCATGCCAGATTTACATGTTAGCTCATACAAACTAGCTCCCAGACTCTGGCGGGAGATAGTAGCTCATGTTTTTATGCGTCCCAAGATGTGTGATATGGCTGACGATACAGACCAACCACTGCTCTTGAGAGAGTTTGAAGCATGGGAGGGCTGTGATGAGGAGCTGATTCATTAGCTCTGTGCGATGGCAAGAAAGAGAAGATGAGCGAGCAGGCTTGTTTGACTGTTTGCTTTTCCCTGCAGCAGAGGTGGAAAGGGACTTTTTATCTAGTGAAATGATACCATTCTTTAGTTTGTTTTTTGTTTGGTTTTGTTTGTTTGTTTGTTTTAATCTAAACTCCTTTATTGATTCTGTTTTGCCAGGGTAATTGTTTAAATAAGTTAGAATAACTGGCACTCATAGTAAAACCCACTGTCCCTCTGTCACTCAGTGCTGTAGCAAAGACTGTAAGATGCCCTTCCTGACCCAGCAGGAGATGTGAGCCGAGCAGGCAGGACATAAAAGCCTTTCTCACTTAATCTCTCCACAAGTTGATGAGGTGCAGACCTGGGCTTTGTTTTCAAGAAGTAAAACGTCTCTGTTTCTTCACCAATTCCCAACAAGAGTGGGCACGTTACTTGCCCACTGGCCCTCCTGCATCTCTGGTGATATGGCAATACGGGAGGAGAAAGAATGGAAAAGAGGAGCGGGGGTAAATAAGGTAGTGAGTGACAAACTTCTGTGGGGCCTAAATGGCGGTGAGAAGGTTTAATATGACTATTATTTGTTATTGTTTTCTGAAAATGAAAATCTCTACTCAAACTGGAACTGATATAGAAATCTAGAGTGACAAGGGCTGGGCATTAATTTCTTTCATCCAAGGCAGGCTCCTGACAGCCCGTCATCTACCAACAGCTAACGATTCTGGGTAAATAAAGCTGTAATTTGGTGTGGAGGGAGCGAGGCAGAGAATGCAGAGGTGGAAGGGCTGTGCAGTGGGTCAGACAGAGGGGCTCAACTCAAGCACTGCGTGCAGCATCTGGAAGGGGAATGCAAGAAGTGGGAGCGCAGCGGCTGGAGGAGGTTATGGGGGTGTACTTCCTTTAATGCGTCAGGATCTATTGTGTGTGCCGGCTCCCTACTGGCAGAGTTTTGTGATGATCTCGGGGGCAGGAGTATTTCTTCCTGACTCTTCTTTTTCCCCTTGCAGCGCTGGTGATGGTCCTGAACAGCACAAGTGTCAGCTGGAGTGCCCGCATTCAGATTTTCCTTACCTTTTGCAAGCTTGTAGCAATTCTGATAATTATAGTCCCTGGAGTTATCCAGCTAATTAAAGGTATGAAATGAAAAGTAAATGCTTTTAAAGTGCTTTTATCTTTACCCTCCCCAGTCTTTCCCCACCTGCCTCCATCAAATAATGCTTATAGAAGCAAAATCTCTTAATTAGTCTGTGCTTGCTTAACTGAAGCTCTGTACTGTCAGGTAATTGATTAGAAGTGTAACTACACTGGGATGAACTGGTATTTCCTTCAGCATGCCAATGAGTCTATTCAGATTAGACTTGGTTTCCAAATGAGTGACAGAATTACTCTTTGTAATTTGCCTTTGGCCTGAACTTTGTGAGAGGGGCAGGGTGGGTTTTAATGATGGAGGGGCATACACCTCCACAAAGCATACGCCTAGTCGAGCCAGAATGTCTCCTTCACCTGGGCTAGTGCCTACTCTGGGGCTATCCCAGGCGTAGGAGAGGAAAGCAGAAGTGTTTGGAGGGCCAGAATTACTCTACAAACTTTACCAATGTTGCTGCACAAGCAAGGAGTGTGCAAACACACCTTTGTTCTCCCCAGCAGCACCCAGCACATGGCTTTACCATGCTGGCATGGAAACCTTTTTCACTGATGTATGCTCTGCTACCTGAAGAGGCTTTTCCATTTGAGCCCAGCCAGCAGCAGGTGTGAGGAGGTGAGGAGCCCCAGCTCGCTCTCCTTACGAAATAACGCCGAACGACGACTGCGCGAGGCAGCAGGAGCCATTCGGTGCAGAGGGTCAGAGCGGGGAGCGCTTTTTAATGAGTTGGTGGCAGATTTTGTCTGACACAAATTGTCACAGCTATTGGCTCTGTCCCTGGGGATCCTCTTTGATGATGCTCTACGAAGCCCCCATCTGACAATCTGCACAGCATTGGGCATGGCGGTGAGCTCAGTTCTTGGGGACAGGTGGCTCTCTGCGGTTAGCAATAGGCTGGAATAAACGTGTCCCCGTGTCGCACTCTGCTGATTCACTGTTTCTGTTTTCCTGTTTTTCACTTCCTTTCTGGCAGTGGCTCCTGCCATGCGTGCAAAATTTCTCTCTGTTCCCATCTGCCTCGTTTTCCATAGCCCTTTGGAGCAGGCCAGGCCCAGGTTTGGATGGGGTGTGCTGCCCTTAAGCAGCTCAGATGGTGTCCCTGATTCCCCACTGGGACCTTTCTCTGGCCACAGCTCTTCCCTTACCGAAAAAGCCTCCGCTTCAGTGGAAATTTTGACTGAGGACTCAGTAAAGAATGAGTAAAGGGTAGAGGATTTGACCCATTGCTAATCTAAGTCTGAGTGGATTCTGCTACTTCTTGCTCCTTTTCGGTGGAGGACCATTACTTCTTAGGAAATTCGGGATATTGTAGGAAGGTCTTACGAACCAGAGAGCACCTTGTAAGTGAGTAAGAGCATATACAACTCTTACATGTTTGCATTTATAGATATGTAATTCTTACTTAGTGTAAAATGAATACAGAACTAACTGTAATGTGGTAAGGAGTTACTAAGTTTTTCAGTGGTAGAAATGTTTAAGATACTGTTTTGTTTACATTAAGAACGTTGCTTGTGAGTGACATGCTAGCAATGTCCCTTCGGATTAAAACGTTAAACAAGTGGAATTTTCCACAGCAAAAACTAGAGCTCGTTCTGCTTTTTTATGTTGATGTGAGTCGCTGCTGGAGATGACGGCACAGTGAGTGTGATCAAGCTCAGAATGCTTTGAAAAAAAACCTAATAGGTCAAATTTTGCTATTGTATGATTAGGGACACCACGAAACCTTTTACAATTGCTGGCAGATTACAGCTGTGAGGATTGGGTCAGAAACTAAGGTCAAGGGCAGAACCTGAAGCCAGTGAACTATTGGGTCATTAAATGTTTCATGGTGTGATATATTTATTTGTTTTAAAGTAGTAGGTGACCAAAGAGCTTATTTTTCAATATTGTTTTTGTTGATGTTGCAGGAGAAACACAGCACTTTAAAAATGCCTTTGCAGGGAATGATGCCAGTGTTATGGGATTACCACTTGCTTTCTATTCAGGAATGTATGCCTATTCAGGCTGGTAAGTTCTTGAAACCTGTAAGTATTTGTCCTGAAAACAAACACTGATACGCTTTAACAAAGACATTTATTTATATGAATAAATGAGTCTCACTTTCTATATCTTTTGCCAAACTACATCATGTGGTAAGGGTAGATCTCACCACTGTTCTGTATGCTCAGTAGTTATTCTGCAAGCAGCTGTACAGAGGAAAGAGTTTACTTCTCCAGTGTACAATAGGTAAACAGGTACTGGACACTAAAAAAATCAGACTTTTATTTCTGTTCATAAGACTAGAAACAGAAAGCAACAAGAAAGGAATGTTCTTAAACTTTCATTAGGTATTTTGATAAAAGGGATAATGAAGCTTAAATTTTGTTGCACAAGTCAGTAAGTACATGAAAAAAATTATGAACGGTTGCAAAGTTGTGTCGACCTCAGCCTTTGCTTTGTAAAAACAGTATTTGAAGAACGAGAACAACGACACCACCAGGGTAGAAAGACGTAGATTCTTATGCCTCTTGCTCTGAGAGGATTGGACCTCGCTTAACAAGAAGTGCTACTGGCTTCCAGGGAAGTTAACTGCTGTCAGCTGTGAGCAAAGGTGTAAGAATCTGCCTTCCAGTATCCTGCTCAGAACTTTCTTTGAAGTGCTCTCCCTCTCCCCCACCCAAGTACACAGCAGCTGGTTTGAAAGGTGCCGCTGCTCTTCGAATCTGCCTTATGGTTTATCTGTGCTTAGTGAGGGCTTCACATTGCACAGCGCCAGCGTGCTTTTGCAGCAGCAGCGTGGGGGGAAAAGAGAGACTACAATGCACAGAGTGGGCTTGTTTTGAGATAGCTTTGTCTGCAGGTCTTCCCTTTCCATAACCTCACAGGCAGCCAAGTTCTTTACCTTGCACAAAAGGCGAGGGCTGAGAGATAAGGGGTTTATTTATTTAATTCGGAGGGACAATGGGCTGAGCATTTGAGTTCTCTGCCTGTCTATAGCTCCCCGGTTGCCAGGAGCATTATAAACATGCACACTGAAGTACTGAACAGAACTTTTATATTAAATGGTGGAGGGGGGGACCCAAGAGAGTCCAAAGCCTTTATCTGTGATAGATACGTAAGAAAAAAGCCTGGCATTTTGAAGCCTCAAAGAAATTGAACTCGTTATGCGATCAGCCTCTACATTCTTCCCTCTCTCTCATATAACCGCCTCTATCTGTCATATCCATACAGGTGATGGTTTCTCACTTTTAAAGCATTAACTGAACTGTATGTTTTTGTGTGAAGGGAGTTTTAAAAGCTCTTCAATATTACTTGTCACTGAGGCAGAGTTTGCTTACTATAAAATGGTACATCAAAAAATACTGTTACTTTGTGGCTTCTTTCCCATTTCTTTCCATTTTCTACCTAACATTCCAAATCCCTACAATAAAAATCATGTCTGTTTCTCCTTTACAGCTTCTGATTTCTATTTCAAGGTTCTTATTTGCCACTTTTAAAAGAAATTAGCAGAAAAAGACCTAATTTGGTTAGTGGTTCTTCCCAGCTGCCTATTTGTCTTTGTCACCAGCTCGAATTGATTGCCTCAGAGCACAGAAGAGCAGACCATTAAGTGGAGTGTCAATACCCTTGCGCTATCAGTTTCATGAGGCTAAATCATCCAGTTAACTGAATGTGAAGGAGTGTTGCAAGGGTTGGTGTTGTGTCCCAGGACGCAGGCAGAGTTTTATGCACAGCCCGTGAGGCTGTGAACGGTACAGCTTTAGAGAACAAAACAAAGGTACTGTCTCCTACGTGTGGGTTCATCCTGCGAAGAGCAAGTGTAGGCTGTTTGGTATACAAAGTTCTGGGTGGAAAAGGACAAGTAGAGAAAAGAATGCAAGGAAACATGTCTTTGCATTGATGAAAGAACAGATGCAGGGCTGTCAAATTACATCTGTCTAGGGCTAAGGCCAGAAGGAAGTAGCTGAACATCTTACTTGTCGGAAGCCATCTCTCCTTTAAACTATCCCAACCTCTTCTTTTGTGCTCTCTGCACAAAAGTTTAGAAACAAGTTTGGAAACAAGTACTGAGGTGGTTGTACAAGATGGCAAATCGAGTTTTACAAAATTTCATGCTCAGCCATAAGATCACATGTTTTTAAAAGCCGTGAGACAGCACTGACTCACTCTGCTAGCTCAGATCCGGTCCAAGACCTGTGATGGAGAGAAGTTCCCAGACTTTCTGCCCAATCAGGTACCATTTGTTTGTTGACTGCAGCACTGTTGGGTCAGATACCTTTTTCTTCCTGTATAAGAGCAGGAAGCCAACATGAGCACTGTATCGATGCTCTGTTCAGTTAGCCAGGGTGTGACTTTGTGCCTGTACCTGAGCCAGGTACGTCTGTGAGATCCAGCGATGCACAGGCCTAGTGCTAATAAAGGCAGGACAGAGGGTTCAGTGACCTTGAGGTTGCTCTGTATGCAGGGCTGTGTCTGGTGAGTGCTTTCTATGAATTCCCGTAGGTAGGTGTCACTGGCAGGCTGCTGGAATACAACCAGAGTGCAGCTTGTGCTGGAGGTTGTGCAAGAGCACACAGGATCAGCAGCCTGGGTTTGTGGTCGTGTACGACACGCCAGTGTCAAAATACTGGTTTTAGGAGTGGTTTTTGGAGGCTTTGTTTGTTTTTATTGTGAAGAAGTCCTTGCTGAGTACCCTGATGAGAATCCTTGCCAACAGAAGCTGCGATTGCAAAAGGCTGCAGCCACAAATGGAATGAGGCTTGAGGGTGCATGTGTGTTTGTGTATAGGATTAGGGTAAACCATAATTTGCCTAGTATGCCAGTGAAAAAAATTAATGTAATTCCACATGGACATTACATAGCTTTTGTCTTTTTTCTGCTTTGCTGTCTTTTCTGAGAATTCCCTTACTTACTGTGGGGATGAGGGAAGGTTAAATCTCATGCTCTCATAAACCAAACATGGGTCTGGAAAGTCTACTGTAATTAACAGCAATGCTTAACTAAAAACATCTTCTTGATTCTTTTGGAAAGAAATATAGAATCAAAATCTACTGAGCCCTTATAACACATTTTAAAACTCTTTTCTAGGTTTTACCTCAATTTTGTTACTGAAGAAGTGGAAAATCCCGAAAAGTACGTACCTAATGTTTTTCTTGAGTTTTGAAAAACGGTTGTAAACCTTAAAATGCTATAAAAGTAGTGATCTTCAGAAATTCTGCATGCTGGTCAAGTTGCTTGCTTTCCAGCAGATCTGGTATCTATTTGAATTGCAGCTGCTTGAAGATTTGCTATTTTTGGCCTGTCGTGACCTTGTTATTCTGCTTTTATATGCACAGAAAGCAGAAAACTAAGTAGATCTCCAGGGCTCTGATTCTCCCCCTCAGGACAGAAGTAACTATCAGTGGCTCCTTTCAGTGGGAGTTACTGGTATCCTGTCAAGGAAATCTTGCCCAAGAAACTTATCTGCTGCAGTATTCGGCAGTTTTGCTATGTTTAAATATTAATCAAATACTTAGTTCTACTTGTTTTAGGTGTCTCAGGGTGGCAGGATCTTGAATACACATAGCACAGCATCCGATCCAATTAAGCTGAACAGAGGATATTGGTGGGAGTCTGCTCAAAACAGAGGCGAATGCTCTCATGGCACCTGTCTGTAAAATGTGAAAGAAAAGCTGTCCTGTTAGGGAGAGATTGATATGGCAGACCTATTTTGGTAGGTATGTTTTGGTACATGCAGCCAGTAATAAGATTAACCTTTTCTAGAAATTAAAGAAAATATGCCTTGTCAAATCAAATTGTGTTCTTTGAGGAAATTAACAATTTACTTGATTAAAAACTAACAGGTAGATACAATTTTTCTTAGGTTTTTGAAATTAGATACCTGGCTAAGTACCAAATAACTTACTGTTTAAAAAAGACTTCCAGCAATGTACACTCAGAGAATATGAAGCTACATATCTGAGACATGTAAGAGAAAGGGGAAAAAAAACCCCAAACAGCCATCGGTGGGGAACACACAGAAGGTTTTTAGTTGGTTTCTTCAAAGTCTGACCAAGCCTGGTGCTGTTTGGTATTTTCCTCAGAGTCCTGAAAATAATTATAAAGACATGGATGATAAAACATGAGGATGGCAGAAAGACTGGCAGATTTCCATCGTTTCAGTGCCTTTGAGGGGTCTTGGATGTTAACAGACCTTTTAATATGGTCAGGATACGTACATGGAGGAATGTATGACTGGAAGCTGAAACCAGACAAATGCCGGTAGAAAACACACCGTTAATGTTTAACAAGGTGGTTGACTAATCATTAGGACAGGTACCTATGTAAAGTTTGGGGGTTTTATTGGTAGTTTTCAGTTCAGACAGAGCACCTTTTTAGAAGCCATCCTGTTAGTAAAACTCAAGTCATTTGGCTTGGTGGGGAGCAGCTGGCTGACGCTTCCCAGGCCTGGGGCACATAGGAACTCAGGCTAGATGATCGAGTAGCAAATCTGGGCTTAACTACCAAGGGTCTGTGTGCTTTATGATGTCGGGAGAGGCAGACACTTAAAAAAAAAACCACTTTTTTTTTTTTTTTTGTTTACTTTTGAAAAACCGTTGGATGTCAGACTGACTTGAAAAGGAGTGTGACACTAAATAAAGGGGTGAAGCTGTTCTGGTCCGAGACTTGTACTGCTTCAGGAAATTCTGGGGAGATGGGTCAGGAGCCAGAGTCTTGGTGATGCGATCAAAAGCATTTGCTAGAAGCAGTACTGTTTGTGAATGACCGTGTGGTTACCGTCAGTACTCTGATGTTTTGAAACACCCACATGCCTACCAGCCTTTGGGACTTTTTGTAAGTTTATGTGTCTCTGCAGGCCTCTCAACTGTATGGTGATTGGCAGTTTTCATTACAGGTATTTTGGTTTATGTTGACTTTTTTTCATGTGGTTTGAGTTAGAGGAGTGAATATTTTTGAACAAGTTGCCCTCTGCTGCGGAGGACAGAAAGGCATAGTTCCTTTTTTTTTTTTTTTTGACTAAGCAGCCATTGAAGCATGTTGTATCATAGCTTAGAAGAGTGGTGTGGGCTAGATTTTGGGGTGTTTTCTTAATTGCAGCCAGGGTGCGAGGGAGGGAGCCACTCCCTTTTTCTGCTCTCATCTCAGGAGAGCTTCTCTGTTCTCCAGGTTACCCTTGGAGAGCTGCTGAAGTTACTTGTGCTTCTAGTAGGGATGCAGGACCAGGGGGCAAGCCACATTGCCTGGCTGGTTCGGGGTATTCCAGGATGGCTCTGGAAAAAGCCAGCTAGCTCAACGTTACATGTGCAGTGTTGTCACAAAGCTGTGAAAGCTTCCCTTCATCGCTCTTCTCCTTGGGGCTGCGCTTCAAGAGGGCGAGAGGGGAAGATGCCCAGTGTTTACAGCAAGGTGCCTGGGATCACAGCCTCCATGCAAAGGTACAAAAACATGGTAGAAGAGCATGAGATTTCAAATGTTGCTAAATAAGCAGGAGGTGATGACAGGGCAAGTGGACTGCTACTGGCTGTGCTGACTGAGACCTCTGCAGCACCTTAAATGGGGATTCTGGACTCTGTTAACCTGAAACAAGCACTTCAGTGAAACAGTTGGAATACTTCTTTTTTAATCCAGTTTTCCACTCTGGTGGAAAAGGCGTCCTGCCGAATGGGGGCCTCTCCACCACCATTCCAAAAATCACAGGGAACAGTGTGGACTAATCCCAGGGGCAGCCGTCTTGGTTCCCACCGAGCTCAGTGCAGGCGTTAGATGAGCCACTAATTGTGCTGCTGTTGTAGGTGTTTATCAGAACTCAACTGCCCTTTTTTTTTTTTTTTTAACCTAAAATGCTATCTGTTTTTTCATTCTCGTTGTATGTCTTGTCTCTGACTGCAGAGACACGTGCCTTACGTTAAGGGTTGTATATAGTGCTGCAGAGGTAGGTGTTATATAGCTGCTTTGAAAAGGGACGAGGGAAATCTAGGCTTGAACGGCTCCGAGCCTGAAACAGCTCCAGGTGTGCAATTTGTCACGGTTGTCAGCAGTTAGGGGTGCAAATTACCGGCAGTGGCAGAGGTGAGCACGGTGATGCCTTCTGCACGTGCCAAGGTAAATGTTTGTCTGCAGACCCGTCACAGTTGCCTATTTCCAGATGCGCGGCAGCTTTTGGAGTCCCGGCAGCTGGTGCCGAGAGGAGCGGTCAGCGCTGCCCCCTGTTAACGGGCCTGCTGCCAGCCTCAGCGGCGGGCGCCGAAAGGGATGGCAGGGGGAATGCAGAAATGCTCTAGCAGAGAGGACTTGCAGCAGGGCTGCCAAGGGCCCATGTCTGGGGAGACGTGGCCTTAAGTCCCTTTTTACGTGGTGAGTCCTGGGCTCCCTCTCCGGTACTGTGGTGTTACAGAGGGTGAGAGAGATGGGCCTGGGCCCAAGACTGTGTCCTGAAATACACAGGAAGGTGGAAACATGTACTTTTAGAGCTTAAAGTTTTCCAGATAGGGATTGTTTTGTTTGCTGCGGTGTGTGAAGCATGAGGAAAGCTTTCTGGAGTACAGCAAGTGCCATTGGAAATGCCGGAGAGGAGCAGGGGAAGGGGGGGCTGCTCGTGACCTTGCCCAGCTGAAAGCTGCCTTTGTGC